CTGTCTCACCTGCTCCTCCTCCGCGAGAACCATCTCTCCTACACTGCGATTCATTCCGTTACTTCTTTATCTCACTCAGACACTGCTAAAGTTTATACGGACAGTTTTTTTCGAGAGCCCGTCATACCAAACTGCCGCGCGCATCTGCCTGTTTATACAAATCGCTTTTGGTGAAAATTTGACTTTTACGTAAAAATGTTCTTTTGATGCAAACGAAATCAAAGGAGGTCCAGAAAAGGGGTTTAGGGTTACCAAATTTGGAGGGCAGTCTGCCCTTTGGGACCCTTGAACTAGTGTATTTAATAAAAATAAAATAAAGGAAGGAAGATTGCGAGCCCCTCTGTGTGCTGAGGCCCTTGCGACGGCACAGGTCGCACAGCCCTTAAGGACGGCCTGAATTTGGGAGAGGTTTAATCATGAGAGGGGACATTAATTTTATTTTCTAACTTCCAACAAAATGATAAATCGACTGTAACATTGGTCAAAGGCATGGAGTAATAACACGCCGATTCAGTAGGTGGCAGTATACGTGCAATAACTTGAGTCTTATCCCGCCAATAAAGAAACAGAAGCACCTCCATCAGACTGCGCATCGCGCCTCGCTCATCTTTGTCTACGCTGAGGAGGGGGTCACGTAATTTACCTCTACACATGATTTCGGTTTTAATAATTAGAAAACTTTGAATCTCCAAAATTAAAATGCTATTTATGTGTTTACAAATGCAAATGTACAAGTCAGAGCTTTGAATCCATTTTTAAGTCTGTAGTTTTACAGTGATGTAGTCTGGTACGGACTGTTTTAAGTGGTGCAGGCCCTTAAGCCTAAGTGTTTCTACTGTAGTTTAATTGATAAGTGTTAGTATTACTGCAGTCTGCTAAATCCTGACAATAGTTTTATGGGCTTACATTATTTTATAAGTCTTTTCAACTTTGATGCGGTGAATATAGACACAGTTTCTTGTAGAAAACATAGTTATTATTAAACAGTTTTCCAGCACAAACACCAAAACAAATAAAAGTGTAATACAATACGAGTGTATAATGTTTAGATCAAAGATTATATATATTGATTTAGATATAAGTTATATAATTTAGATAGTCCACATCCTCCTGTATATCAGCTCTGAGCCCAAACTGCTTGTCCTCGAAGCACAAAGCTCATCTGCACCATAGTTCCGTCGTCCATGCTCGCCTGCTGCAGCCGCTCCGTGCATCCTCCATACAACACACACGGAGAAACCAATCACAGCGGAGCTTCCTTGCGCGACCTTAAAAGTAGAATATGTAAAAATCAGTGCCAAAAGGTGTACTGCAAGTCACAGTCAATATTTGTAGTCCTCGTCCTCACTCTCCCTGACTCAGGTTTGCATATTTCACACCAATCCATCAGCAAACACAGGGAATTATTTTATCAGTTGTTTTGTCGTCACATTCACATTGCCATACAGAGCCGTGCTAAAGCTGAATGAATTGTGTTTGATTAATGTTTTTTTTTATATTATTATTGGACATTGATAAAAAAACAAAAAACAAAATATAAGCAATGTAGTAAACATAGTTTTATGCAAAAATAAAAAGCAATTGAGTTCAAAATAGAGTGGGAAAATGGATTGTTGGACCTATTTCTCAGCGTATCAACATACAGGTTTGCTCAAGAGGATTCACCTTTACATTTAGTTATTTCCCTACACATGTAAAAGGTCCCACATTCACAAAAGACTAACATTATTTTAATTGGGGTCCATTGTGGTCTTAAATGATTATTTTTAACAATTACGCATAATCTGCAAAGAAAAAAACGTCTTGACCTTCATCTTTTAACCGTTGTTTTATTAGAGCAATCTGTCATAGAATGATACATGCATAAATACAAAAAGACATAGCCCGGATCGACACCCCGGTTCCTGCATCGTAAGCGCACAGTTATAGACCCACTAGCGTCTAGTGGTTCCCAAAGTGGGGGGGGTTTCCCCCTGACCCCCCGGGGGTCCGCCGGGAACCCCTGGGGGGGTCGCAAGATGAATATCCACACAAAAAAGACTATAATATATGTTTAATAACAGTTAGTAATTTTGTCCCCGAGTCATTGCAGCGTCAATCAAAATCATCGCGTACACACTCACATTGCGCAGCGACCAAAGCGTTGTCCTGCTGTGTTCTGCTAAACACTAAAGGTGTTTGAGGCTACAAATAAATAATACCTGCTTTAAAAATGAAACGTGGTTAATATCTAACAACAGAAAAACTCCGAGGGGGAGAAAAGTCACTTGTAGCAGGGGCTGATGGTGCGAAGAGAGGAGAGAGGGCAGGGAAGGAGAGAGGGCAGAGAGGGGAGAGAGGGCCGGGAGAGAGGAGGGAGGGCAGTAGGAGGGGAGAGAGGGCAGAAAGGAGGGAGGGAGGGAGGAGGGCAAGAGGAGGGAGAGAGGGCAGGAGAGGGAGGGAGGACAGAGGAAGGAGGGAGGGAGAGATGGCAGCGGAGGGAGGGCAGCGGGAGGGAGGGAGGCAGAGGCGGGAGAGAGGGCAGCGTCGAAGGGAGAGAGGGCCAGCGGAGGGAGAGAGAGGGCAGAGGAGGGAGCAGGGAGACCGGAGGGGAGGGAGAGAGGCAGAGGAAGGGAGAGAGGGGAGCGTAGAACAGCGCGTTTAAAGAGGCCCCGGCTTTTCCGAGTCAGCGGTAAAGGGATCCGCACATTAAAATCGGGATGGGCCGCTTTCTGCTGTTACGTTATGCGGTTCATCCCCGCGGCTTCCTCTTTCCAAAGTTACTGTCATAAAGGCATAAACCTGACCACGACCGCTTTTAATGTGGCGAACCTCTTACCTTTGACTCCCGAAACAGCCGGGCCTCTTTAACGCCGCTGTTCTACGCCCCGCTGCCCTCTCTCCCTCCTCTGCCCTCTCCTTCCCTCCTCTGTCTCCGCCTCTCCCATCCTCCTGCCCTCTCTCCCTCCGCTGCCTTCTCCTCCGCTGCCCTCACTCTCCCCGCCTCTGCCCTCCCCTCCTCCGGCCTGCCCTCCCTCCGCTGCCCTCGTCTCCTCCCTTCCTTTCCTCAGGACCCTCCCTCCCCTCCACTGCCCTCTCTTCCCTCCTCCTGCTCCCTCCCTCTCCTCCCTCCTCTGCCCTCCTCTGCCCTCTCTGCCCTCCCTCCCTGCCCTCTCTCCCTCCTCTGCCCTCTCTCCCTCCTCTGCCCTCCTGATAGGACGGTGTAAACAGACCTCCCACCCATTCTGATTTGTTGTTAGTACTCCCTCCCAACCGTTCATCATGATAACACTATCACACACACACACCTAAGTGTCGTTAACAGGTCCTCCCCTGCAGCTTAGCTATTAACACGTCTTCCTAACTGTTTGCTTTAGAATAACATGTGCTATGATAAACCGTGATCAATAAATCACTTTAGACAACTGTGAAGCATTTACTTTATCACACACACACAGGGTCAACAGAAGCTAACTCATTACATATTCAAAACTCTTTGAAAAAAAAAACAGTGCAGTAACACTTTTTCACCACTTGCTCAAGAGCGCCGTCCCCATTCTGAGGAGTTTTAGGGTGCAGTACCACCTTTTCACCACTTGCTCAATACTGCTGTCTATACTATCTACTTGTAGGAATGCACAAACCAAGCAGAGCTGTGCGGCGTCGGGCCGATGTGAAAACGCCCACAATGAATGAGCTGGGCACTTAGTCCACAGTGACATGCCATGAAGGACATTTGAAATAGAAGTGCTCTTGTCTCTTTCTATTCCTTTCTAGTTTAAAGGTGGCTCACCGTGATGGCCTGCAGTCTCTCCTTCAGCAGACACTCCTCCTCCATATTCACCTGTAAAAATAACAAGAATGGTTAAACTCTAGAAAGCTTTTTGTATATAATGTCTTGTTTAGGTAAAAAGTATAGACAAATAGTAACAGTTGTCTTGGGAAAGGAGCTGCAGGTATGTTGCTGTCTTTCTGATTGCTTTTGAATGAATACAGCTATGATAACACTTGTAGGAGCCTCTGTTGATCCGTCGGCCGTGAGGAAAGCCTGTGTGTGTGAGTGTTGTTGCAGTTCACATTGCAGAAATGGTGAGCCGTTAGCCCAGCCCGTTTCTCATTAGGTTACATTTGACATGCTACGCTAAGCAAACAATTTATTTTCAATGGCGTAAATTAGCCATTAAAATGGTGCTTTTTGTACGTTTTATTACACTATGATAGATACTTTAAATGTATGTTTGTGTAAGCTCTCAGTCGTACAGGATTTAGTCAAAGCAAAGGAAGGTTTCTCATCCATCATCTGTAATTCTTAGCAGGTTTTCCCGACGTTTCGTCCTTCTTACTAAAGGACTTCTTCAGGGAATTAATTCTCAGACCGCGCGTTGGAGATCTATAACCTCCGGGTGTGGATACCTTAGACCTTAAATTGTTAATGAGTTAGCATCAGGATTAGGGTGTGGTCTAAGGTGTGGATAACTTAGACCTTAAATTGTTAATGAGTTAGCATCAAGATTAGGTTATAAATCTCCAACGCGCGGTCTGAGAATGAATTCCCTGAAGAAGTCCTTTAGTAAGAAGGACGAAATGTCGGGAAAACCTGCTAAGAAGTACAGATGATGGGTGAGAAACATTCCTTTGCTTTTACTTTAAATGTATTTTGAAGTATGACTGAATTTAGAATGTTTTTTATGCAAATGTATGCGGTATACTGTAGTGCCCATGGATCTATTACGATAACTTTATAGGCTTGGAGCTGAAGGACCCATGAGCTTGCAGGGTTCTCATGGTACTACACTCTAAGAAATGAAACATAGGGGTTGTCAAATATAATTCATACTTTTCTTTTCAATGTAGTTACAATTGTTAATTTTGGGGTTGTAATTAATAACGTTTCATTGGTTTTAATTAAGTTCAAACATTGTTATCGCTATTTGATCGAACTATTTTGAATGTCTTGAACATCTTTAATTAAATCCAAAGTGCCTTTTCTACACCCCTCTGAGCATGCGCAGAGGTTCAGCATGCGCTGTCTCCAGTGTCCAGCATCCACTGCCATCGAGTTCTTGCCATGCGCAGTCATGAGTAACGTCATCATCGTGCAGTTTTGGGTAATTAGCAGGCCCGTCCTAAGGGCTGTGCGACCTGTGCCATCGCACAGGGCCTCGCACCACACAGGGGCCTCGCAATCTTCCTTCCTTTTATTTTATTTTATAAATACACTAGTTCAAGGGTCCCCAAAGGGCAGACTGCACTCCAAATTTGGAACCCTAAACCCCTTTCTCTGGACCTCTTTGATTTCGTTTGATCAAAAGAACATTTTTACAAGTAAAGTCAAATTTTCACCAAAAGCGATTTGTAAACAGGCAGGCGCGCGGGCAGCTATGTATGCAACGGGTCCTCCGAAAAAACTGTCAGATAACTTTAGCAGTGTCTGAGTGAGATACAAAGAAAGTAACGGGAATGATCGCAGTGTAGGAGAGATGGATACTCGCGGAGGAGGAGCAGTGAGACAGGTGTGAGCAGAGGAGCAGACCCCTTTGTGTGAGCAGAGGAGGAGGAGGAGGATCAGCGGTGTGACAGGTGTGTGAGCGCTGCTATTGCCAATGTTTAGTCCGAATATCCACATCAAAAACATATTTTTAAAAGCATTAGCAAACACACTGTATGTCTAGCTTTAGCTAGCTGGAGTGTTTTTGTTGTGGTCAGAGTGTGTGGAGGAGGAGGTGAAGAGTATTTTGTTGTTGTCAGCGTGGAGGAGGAGGAGTGTATGTTGTCAGAGTGTGTGGAGGCATGGCAAAAACGTTATTTGATGAGAAAAAAATAATATTGACTCCGCCTCATAGCCATTTTGGCGCATTTTGCCAAAATCTAACTATTAGAAGAAAAAGACTCCTTTTGGTTCAATCTTTTGAGTTGCTCTACCATTTTGCCACAGGACGAAAGAGACATGTCAGCTAAAAAGACCGCGACCAATATTGCACGTAGAGTGTGTGTGCGTGTGTACGTGCGCGCGCCAAACGCTGCATAGGAGCGAAGACACTCGGTTACACGCGTGCTGATCTCGTCAAGCACCGCGCGAGGTGGTGCTGAATTCATGTCAAAGATTATAACAGGAAAAACTTTCCTCAGATCTGGGAAAAAAGTGTCAGGGCAGGGCCTCGCGTTTCGAGTTCGCACAGGGCCTCGCACCCTCCTTGGGACGGGCCTGGTAATTAGTTCTTTATTATTATCAAATATTAACTGAGTGGTACTTTGGGATAATATGTTGGGTATTGCATTCTGAAATACTGTCCATAAATATATGTGTTTTGTCATCTTTTTTCAAAGTTGATAGCTATCTTAAAATTCTTTTTATGTTGTTCCCAGAGATAATATTGTATTTTGTGGCAGTATATGGCAATCTGTATTGTTATGAAACAATAATTTGACTATTAGACGTTTTTGTACTTTCCCCAACTGCGTGTTTAATAGTAAAATAGCATTCGAAAGCTATAAAGCACACTGCCCCCCCCCCCTCCCTTACTTTTGTTTTCACGAGTTTAACAGCAAACAAGTCATGGGGTCAAACACTGTTTACAAAGTGCGGTAGTGATGCATCGGTGCGAACTGCAGACAAACTGTATTTTAATTTAAGTCAACGCTGTAACCATGGGCTGTTTTTTAATTTGTTTATTTGAGCTGCCCGCCTGAAAGAGATTGTGAAGGGAGAATAACATGGACGTGGCTCCGTGAGGTCCACAGTGGACCTGCAGCAGCGGATCCACGGTGAAAGGACTGATTCCTGGTCCCGCACGGGGATCCGCAGCGTATGCGCCGCGGTGTGTCAGCTCCATGGATACTTTTAGCTAGTATGGGTTTCATTATCCTATTAGCTCTAGTTAGCTCCGTTAGTGGCGAAGGAGATGGCTATGCTAAATGCTAAATACACTGGGGACTTACAATCACTATTGATTGAGTACATTTTGTGTGCATTGTTGTTGAGCCTGGTGTATTTATATTTTCTCTCCAGGTTGCCATCTGTGAGGTGTAACTGCTGTGCCCTAAAACTCCATCCTAAAGGTATATTATTATTTTTGGCTTTTGTTGTATTTTCTCTTTCTAATCTTCTTATTTGATCTCTCAGGTTGTGAAGGTGGAGTTGAAAGCTCTGTTCTGAAAGTATATATCTGCAAGGTACTAAAACGTGAATGCATCCTTGATGATCTTCCTGAATGAGAATCCTCAAAACCTCATCAAAGAGTATATGGTAAGTTACACTAAAATCGGTTATACAGGTGTATATACAGGTGTATACAGGTGTAAACATGCAAGATGACTCAATCAGCTGTAATCGCTACAACCAACATTTTATCTTGTATGTATGAATATGGTCTTGAGTGACATCACTTTGGCTGCATGTGTCTTGGTCAAATGTCTGAAAAAAAAATTATTCACTGACTTTTGTGATCTAAACAACTCATGGATTAGTTGGGCAATTATTATATCAATCTATTTTCTATTTTTTCCCTTCATAAATAAGTAATTGATGGTCCCAACAGTCTTGTAAAATGAACATGTTATCTTTTGCATAATGTGACAACACTACTTGTATATTTGAAAACCAACCAATACTTCTTATTGCCGTTCACAATCACAGCTGTCAACGTGTAATGGATTTAAAATATATTTGTGTTCTTTCAGGATGTCTATGTCATGAAGAATGAGGAACTTGAGCAGATTGACGTTTATGAAGTCACCTGTGAAGGCGCACAACCTGGTGACTCCCTTGAATATGAAGTATCGTGATTGAAAGATGCTCCAGGTGCTCCGGTGCTGCTGGATCTTGGAGATGTGGTGTGATGTGCATTGTGCACTAATTTACTGCCTCAATCTGAGTTATCCAAGAACACTCCGCTACACATTTGAGTTCAACCAGAAAGTGCTTTTAGGACTGGATGATAAAAAACTTTCAAACAAAACACAAGTGATCAACAACAGGAGCTGCTCCTGAGTCCACAGGAGTTTAATGTCCTGGAGAGTAATTATGCGTCCATCGAGAGAGTTCAACAGATAATGTTAAATTCTCAATTATCTTTACAAACAAAAATTGGAATATACAGTTTGTAGGTCACCTGTATTTGTGAGAAAATCATTTTTGTTTAATGCACTCTGAAAAGTATTTTCACAATCTGCTGTCTGCAGTTATTTGGTTTTGTCTGAGAAAAAAGACTATTCACAAATAGGCACAAAGTCGCCCAGTTTGTGTTTAATCTAACTTGTTCCAAAGTTAGTGAATGTACTATTTTTCAATGTTTTGTTCATGTAATATGCAGTGATTTTTGTTTAAAATGTCACACTTTTGAATGTTCTAAATATCTGAGATAAATAACTACATTAAATGCATTTGTATGTTTATTCCTTGTGAGCAGTAGTAACATTGTGTGTTGTATGAACTCTGCAGATCAACAGCTGTATAAGATTTTTGTACTCCACTTGATGTAATCCATTTGTCACTTTGTTGAAAGAGAAAGATTTTTAATACAACTGCTTTATGTACACTTTTTTTTTTTACACAGTTTTGCCTCGTTAAAAATAAAGTTGTTAATGCAACATAATTGTGTATTTGTATATGCTCAGTCATATATGTTTCCAGGTTATTGAATGGTTAATTGTTAATGTTGAATCTTTCATCTCACATCCTAGAGCTGGGATCTATAAGAGGAGATCCTCAAGGATGTGAGATGAAAGATCCAACCTCTGATTAGACTATAGATGACAAGTGCAATTTTATCTACATTTTACACTACACTAGTTTTGATTACACATTAATATTAAAATCTATTTAAAAAATAAACAATTATGTTAATTAAATCATAACTACTATTGTTAATAAATCATAACTAATATTGTTAATAAATCAAAACTAATAATGTTTATACATCATAACTAAGGGTGTTAATTAAATCATAACTAATAGTGTTAATTAAATCCAAAGTACAATGCTAGTGATGCACTTAAATCCAAATTAATAATGTTAATTAAATCCAACATAACATTGTCAATAACCATTTAACAGCATTCAGCAGAATGTAATCACGCAGAGCTGTTGCATTTAAATAACAATTTTACATCTGATATAAGGGACCATAGAGGTTGCAGCTAACAACAAAGTTATTTCAGAATTTCACAATTAATTGACTGAGTTTTATGGAAAAGTTTGCCATAACTGTATCAATTAAATCCAACACCTTATTTCTTAGAGTGTACAGACTAAACTAGACTCAGGCCACGTCCACTGCAGATATTTGTCTTTGTTTGCACCTGACATCCACATATATTAAAACCGCCAGGCAACATGAAGATTTTTGAAAACTCTGCATTTGCGTGTAGGCAGAGATAACCAGAGTTTTGCACTTTTGCACGTCACACTATGTGCCAAAATAACAGCGTACAAAAACTGAAGAAGGATTTTACTGCCTTAAAAACTGTTCGAACATCCTCGCTCCACATCAGAGAGCAAAGTGATCACGGGGACTCACGCTCCAAAACAACCAAAACAGGAGATAAACCGGGATTAAACCCCGCCATTTTAAAAAACGGCTGTTCAGCAACAACACGACCTCCTAACTCGAGAGAAATGGAAATGCACAGAAAGCCCCAAAGTCAACGCCCTGGTCGGTTGACGGGGTCCAGACGTTACTGGCCTTAGTGGCCGAAGAAAGAATTCAATCAGTGGCGGGTCCTCAATGCCTGCAAGGCCTTCTCTGCAGGCCTAAACATGATTACATTATATATATATATATATATATATATATATATATATATATACAGTACATATAGCCCCCTTGAACCTTTCAACATTTCGCCACATTTCAGGCTTCAAACATAAAGATATAAAAATATTTTTTTTTTGTCAAGAATCAACAAGTGGGACACAATCGTGAAGTGGAACAACATTTATTGGAAAATTTAAACTTTTTTAACAAATAAAAAACTGAAAAGTGGAGCGTGCAATATTATTCGGCCCCCTTGCACTAATACTTTGTAGCGCCACCTTTTTCTGCAATTACAGCTGCAAGTCGCTTGGGGTATGTCTCTATCAGTTTTGCACATCGAGAGACTGGAATTCTTGCCCATTCTTCCTTGCAAAACAGCTCGACCTCGGTGAGGTTGGATGGAGAGCGCTTGTGAACAGCAGTCTTCAGCTCTTTCCACAGATTCTCGATTTGATTCAGGTCTGGACTTTGACTTGGCCATGCTAACACCTGGATACGTCTATTTGTGAACCATTCCATTGTAGATTTGGCTTTATGTTTTGGATCATTGTCCTGTTGGAAGATAAATCTCCGTCCCAGTCCCAGGTCTTTTGCAGACTCCAAAAGGTTTTCTTCCAGAATGGTCCTATTTGGCTCCATCCATCTTCCCATCAATTTTAGCCATCTTCCCTGTCCCTGCTGAAGAAAAGCAGGCCCAAACCATGATGCTGCCACCACCGTGTTTGACAGTGGGGATGGTGTGTTCAGGGTGATGAGCTGTGTTGCTTTTACGCCAAACATCGTTTTGCATTGTGGCCAAAAAGCACAATTTTGGTTTCATCTGACCAGAGCACCTTCTTCCACATGTTTGGTGTGTCTCCCAGGTGGCTTGTGGCAAACTTTAAACTAGACTTTTTATGGATATCTTTGAGAAATGGCTTTCTTCTTGCCACTCTTCCATAAAGGCCAGATTTGTGCAGTGCACGACTGATTGTTGTCCTATGTACAGACTCTCCCACCTCAGCTGTAGTTTATCTGCAGTTCATCCAGAGTGATCATGGGCCTCTTGGCTGCATCTCTGATCAGTCTTCTCCTTGTTTGAGATTAAAGTTTGGAGGGACGGCCGGGTCTTGGTAGATTTGCAGTGGTCTGATATTCCTTCCATTTCAATATAATTGCTTGCACAGTGCTCCTTGAGATGTTTAAAGCTTGGGAAATCTTTTTGTATCCAAATCCGGCTTTAAACTTCTCCACAACAGTATCTCGGACCTGCCTGGTGTGTTCCTTTGCCTTCATGGTTCTCTCTGCGCTTTAAACAGAACCTTGAGACTATCAAAGAGCAGGTGCATTTATACGGAGACTTGATCACACACAGGTGCATTCTATTTATCATCATCAGTCATTTAGGACAACATTGGATCATTCAAAGATCCTCACTGAACTTCTGGAGTGAGTTTGCTGCACTGAAGGTAAAGGGGCCGAATAATATTGCACGCCCCACTTTTCAGTTTTGTATTTGTTAAAAAAGTTTTAATCATCCAATAAATTTTGTTCCACTTCACAATTGTGTCCCACTTGTTGTTGATTCATGACAAAAAAATAAAATTGTATATCTTTATGTTATATACTCTGACTGCCACCCCCCTGACCCAGAAATGGATTGATGGATATATATATATATATATATATATATATATATATATATATATAGATAGATATATTATATATATCGTCGGTTGTGCAAAGAGGCACTTGAGACGATCCAACACATAACTGCAGGGTGCAAGATGCTGGCAGGGAAGGCCTACATGGAACGCCATAACCAAGTGGCTGGCATAGTGTACAGAAACATCTGTGCAGAGTATGGGCTGGAAACCCCAAGGTCTAAGTGGGAAACTCCTCCAAAGGTGGTGGAGAATGAGCGTGCGAAGATCCTGTGGGACTTCCAGATACAGACGAATGGTAATGGCGAACCAACCTGACATCGTGGCGGTAGACAAAGGGCAGAGGACAGCCGTGGTGGTGGACATGGCAATTCCAAGCGATGGTAACATCCGGAAAAAGGAACATGAAAAGCTTGAGAAATACCAAGGTCTCAGAGAGGAGCTGGAGAGGGCCTGGAGGGTAAAGGTGACAGTAGTGCCCGTGGTGATCGGTGCACTCGGGGCAGTGACCCCAAAGCTAGAAGAGTGGTTACAGCGGATCCCTGGAACAACCTCGGACATCTCGGTCCAGAAATGTGCAGTGCTAGGAACAGCAAAGATACTGCGCAGAACCCTCAAGCTCCCAGGCCTGTGGTAGAGGACTCGAGCTTAGAGGGGGATAACCGCCCGCGGAGGGTCAAAGGTGAGTGGAGATTTTTTTTTTTTTATAATATATATAAAGTATAATTTTTCTACTTATTATCATTTTTTTCTGTTTATTTTTCCACAAACTACGTTGGTTGTGCAGCTTCTAACTTAAGGTCAACATTTGGGAGGCCTGGCGTCTAACAGAGTTTTTATCCAATCATTGGTCAGCGTTATATGGTGGCCCAGAATCTGCCTCTAGGCCTTCAGAGTCTACAGTCCTGGCCCCCTCTAGCTAAAGGCAATGCAAACGAACACTGAGTGGCATTGGCCAATCAGTGTCAAGTCTCCTTGTTGTCACGAGTTAGGAATGTCGATGGAAGAAGGATGGTGGACCACAAGTTTCTTGTCAGGTGAAATTTATTGAGACAGAACAGAGCTCGGGTCTCAGATCAACATGCTATGAAATGAGCCAGGATCAACCTACAACCAAGGTATATATACAGTCCACTTGGGGATCACATCAAGGGACTTCAAACACCAATCATGGGACAAAGGGTTCATACTTGATCACAGACCCTGGTAGGATTCAATCACAGACCCAGGTGACATAAGCCAAGAACTCATGACTTCAATCCTCTCTTTTTTTTATTCAGCCACAATAACTTTTGTCTTACAATATTGTAAACAGACGTTCTAATCTACATTTGCACATCATATTTGTCCATATCAGAATATTGTTAAAATTAACAAGGTATCTCTGATATGTAAAAGAATAATACATAAAACATGATATTATTGAGAAATAGTGACATGCAAACGGTATAAAGAGGTAAAACTACTGAGGCTGACTTCTCTCATCTTGAAATATGTCTTTGGAAAACCTCTACATTTGCTCAATCGAGGGAAACCCATAGACATCTTCATTACAAATTGACTAAAACAAAATAAAACTGGGATAAGACACAAAAATCACACTCCAAAAGTAACACTTCATCAAAAATTACAGATAATGCTCACGGCATGCAATCATGTATGGTGTAATCAAAAAAGTTAACACCACACTACTTAAATTATGGAATCGCTGGACACCCTTCTAACCAAATGAAACATTAGGCACAGATGATCGAAGAAGGGCACTTGTCTGTATGAAACTTGAATTGATGCCACCAGTCAAAATGTGGTGTCCAGCGATCCCCATGGTCCAAATAGCTAAAGCATACAAAGAAAACATGTAATGAGTGAAACTATACATCCTGCAGTTGTCAAAGACATCATTACGAATATATGATCAGTATTACTCCCCCCGTTATGGCTTTTTCCTCTCAGGGGCCCCGTGTCCAGTTCTCCACCGGCCTTGTTTTTCGTGACAGCATGGAGAGTGAGGAGCGGCCTGGTCGCCCGTGTCTCCTCGGCCTTGTTGTCGTGTCGGCTCATGTGGCGTTCTCCCCCATCGAATGCTCGCCTTGGGGTGGTCCCATCGGTGCTGCTTTGACTTGGCTGGCATGGATCCATCTCGAAATTCCTTTGACCTTGACCGCCGTTCTGGTCACCAGGAGGATCTGCGTCGGGGGCCCGTATTTTGGCTCGCCCTGCTTTGGTTTCAGACTCTTGACCAATACGTAATCCCCTGGCTGGAAGGGATGTGTGGACTCCTCTCCTGGGGATGGCAGGCTGCGGACACCTGTGTTTTATACTTGGACAGAAAAAAGAATACGTTTCTGACATAATCCTTTTGTGCCTCCTGCAACATTGTTAAATCAGTCGGTTCCCCCTTTTGTAAGATACCTAAAGAAAAAGGACGGCCGAACAACACTTCATGGGGAGAGAAACCATGTGTTTTGTTGGGCATAGCTTAGCCTGGCCGTAGCCATCCGTACACTCCGCTCAATCATCATTTCATTGCATGTAGCGTCTGGGTCTGGTCCCTGTGTTAGCGATTACAATCGGTCGTATTTCGACCGGCTACTCAGAGAGCGCGTTGTAGGTCGGTGACGTCAAGAGTTTGCGCCGAATGGGCAGGTTGTAGTTTGGCAATGGCAAAGAATGCGATAGTAAAGTAATGCGGTCTGGTTCTATCAAGAAATTGAAGCCGGAGCAAAAGGAATGTTTAGCAAATGTAATCGCTGGTCAAGATTGTGGCGCTACTCCCCACGGGCTCCGATAGCCGCAAAGGAGATGGCTAGGCTAAATGCTAATGCTAACAACTCACTCGGGCGCACTGCATACGTCACGGTAAACTAAGATCCAATTGTTTCAATCTGCAAAAGGAGTTAACCCCTCCCACCTGTTCACGGAGCTCAATAGCGAACTATCTAAATAACGTCACTAAGAAACGCCCCCGCCGCCTGTCAACTCCCGCCCACATGTTTCGGACAAACACTGCAGAAATGAATCAAATACCACCTGTCACTTTAGACAAAAATGATAAACCAGGAGCAAAATTCCACCATCAAACCATCAGGGATCATAGTGTAGACCAATTAAAACGTTGGCTTGAATGTCGTGGTCTACAGTAACTGGTAGAACGTTTGAGTTGATAAAAAGGTAATGGTGAGGATTATGCTAACATTATCCTGTCATTTAAATTGCAATGCTAGCGCCTTCTTTGTTTATTTTGCTGTGATTAACTTCCATTTATCAAGTGTTTGTTTTTGCACTGTCCACTTTGTAACTAGTTTGATCATAGTTAGTCTGTCAGCCGATATTATAATAGATCCATGGGGTCACAACGGGCTACGCCACTACTGTCTCTGCAGAGAGAAACTATCGGAGCTAGCCACACTCAATAAACGCAAATGACAATCAATCGACACATGTAAATGTTAATGGGAGAATATATTATACATACATTCGTAACACATGTGCACGGAGGTTTTCAGTATTATCTGTTAAGGTTTTCATGACAAAAATACTTTTTTTAATGCGACTAAAGCGATCGTTTTTTTGAAGTAGGTTAACTATCCTCACTGTTACTCACCTGCCACGGGAAAACCTTTTGGAACTATTTTCTTTGCACTCATTAAATAAACCTTTCGGCATTAATAAAAGTGACTGAAGTTAATTTTGTGTGTTCAGTTGGTACAAAGCAGTATAATAAGCGGACCCCGACGCGCTTTGTCTGTACTTTTTTTCCGAAAGTCACAAAGTTGAAAAAAATCCCTCTCATCTTTCTTCAGGTGTGAGAATTATGTACATTCTGGATTAGGACAAACGATACTAATATGGATTGATGGGGTAAATGGTATAGAGAGAAAGTTTGTGCTAACCACATTCAGAAGAGCTCAGACGGACCTGATACAGCGGTCCAGATCCAGTCCCAGTTAAACGTAGCTAGGACTGGATCTGGATGCCCCACAGTTGGTCCAGCTTCACAGAAGAAGTGTTTTGAACAAATATGAGTCAGTTAACATTTTCATGAGAGAAATTCTGCTGATCACAAACACGGACCCACCTCCTACACTTGTCCTGGTCTGGTCCGATGGTGTGGTTTAACTAACGGGTTGAATGTTACTTTCATAGTCCTTTTCAGAGAATCTGAAATCGCTCCGACAAGTACCATAACTGCAGTGTTTTGTTGTCACCATGATCCAATGATTTAGCCCAAATAAATACACACGCGTATGTGGAGAACACAGTAGTACTCAACGGAGTCGGACAATGTTTGTCCGAAACATGCGCGCATGCGCAGTCATCGGAGCTATTTTTAGCACATTTCGGAAACCGGACAGTGCCCTATGGAGCAAATCCAGACCTTAGTATGAAATTAAATTTGTACTAAGGTGTGGTACAACCAGGCTAGGCATAGCCCTCATATTCATTAGTATGAATGGTAAAGCATCCATCCAATTCATCGTCTTTGACTGGTGTAATTTCACCAACTTGTCCTTAATTGTGCGATTTGTCCGTTCCACTTGTCCGGAGCTCTGAGGATGGAATGGAATATGGAATGTCCAATTTATCCCTAGTGTTCTGGATAAGAACACGAGGCAATAAATCGTGTTGTTTAAACTGCCCGTGCACTCTCGCACCGGTACAGGTGGCTTCACCCACAGTCCTTAGACAAAGCTCAGATACAGAACAGCTAAACACTTAACATTAACTTATGACCAGTACACAACACACACTAAAGGAAATGCTACCCAAAGCCAATCACTAAGTAACCTAAAATCGCCTCCCCCAAGTCACACCAGATCTATCCCAAGGAGTAGCACATGTAAAATAAAAGTTTAACACTGCTTACCTCCGTTGGAGCAGAATCTGGTCTGTCAGCAACGCCAACTGTTGTCATGAGTTAGGAATGTCGATGGAAGAAGGATGGTGGACCACAAGTTTATTGTCAGGTGAAGTTTTTTGAGACACAACAGAGCTCTGGTCTCAGATCAACATGCTATGAAATGAGCCAGGATCAACCTACAACCAAGGTATATATACAGTCCAGTTGGGGATCACATCAAGGGACTTCAAACACCAATCATGGGACAAAGGGTTCATCATCAATTGTTATCATACTTGATTGATTACATCACAGACCCTGGTAGGATTCAATGACAGACCCAGGTGACATAAGCCAAGAACTCATGACTTCACTACTCATTCAGGGCCTGCTAGGAATCGTGTCTTCTGATAGGATACACGAGACGTAAATTATAGTCTGTGGTGCCGGCCATTGAAGTGCAGACACGTTCATGTGATCAACACAAACAAACAGAAGCGCTAATATGTGTAGCACGACAACTTAGTTTTTCAACCCTCTACAGCTGAAGGAGGTGAATACATCGTTCTGGTTACTAAATAGTTGGAACGCCTTTCTCAAGAAGAACAGAGACAGAGGAACCAGGAGAGCCAGGACCAGGAGAACCAGAACCAGTAGAGCCAGGATTTTTACCCCTGGGAATACGTTTGTCAATAAGCTAACCTGCGGAGCTTGGCAATGCAGAAGACACGGCGCCGCGTCCTGCCTCACCACCGGTAAGGAAACAACATTTAAACTCCATCCAATACTTTTATTGTAGTTGGACTTTCCCACATTAATTCTCAAAACTGTGTCCTGAACACTAGTGTTGCACTCTGTCATCTTCTCAGATACTGTCAGAGAGAGAGAAAGTGTGTGTACAAACTACAGCTATGCGCCTCTTGTCATTTTACAGGAGGCACACTGTGTGTGTGAGTGTGTGTGTGTGGGGGAGGGGTCTGTGGCACTAAAAATGTTGGAGATCGCTGGGTTAGGACATCGCTGCAGGCGCAGGTCTGAAATGCACGGCCCGCCACTGAATTCAAAAGGTGCTTGACAGAACAAAAAAGGTTATCAGGGTATTTGCCCACCTCTTAGTTTGTGACTTTTGTTTGTAGTAATTGTGAACATTATTGCTTACGTATCCCGTTGGGACAAAGCTTCACTGAAATGTATTTACTTGTGTAAAAGGTTTGATTGTTGTCTGTTATACACAGTGAGCTAGCTACTTTATGCTGTCAATAGCAAGCTAAGCTCGCTATTGAACTTAAGTTTTCATGTTGATAAAATAATTGTGTGTGTGTTATACTATCAAGTTTAATGAATGCAGCGTTTTTAATTTAACCGTATCAAAGTTAACTAGGTAAAGGTTATCATAGTAGAAAATGTACTTTGCCTGTGCAATTGTTGAGTTGTAAGGAAAGATGCAAGTTGGAAAAGCGGCAGCAAAAATAGATACCTCAACACATCAATTGTAAATGCTTGCAATGTCATATATTTACATCATATACCTCCTTCCGAATGTAAATATATGATGTAAATATATGATATATTTACATCATATATTTACATTCGGAAGGAGGTACCACAATGAGGGTAGGCCAGGCGTTTCTGATTGGAATGTAGACTTAAGCTCTGCCCCCGCTGGCGGGGGCAAACGAGAAAAAAAAAACATCTGCTGGCAATAGCAGATGTATTTTGAACTTCATAAGCCACAAGCTATATATAATTTTAAAGCTTATTTTCTCAGCTATATTTATATGTAAGTGTAAACGATATCAGACTTTGCATTAAAAAGATTTAACGCATAATATGGGCACAAAATAAATCGTTTCTTACATTTTGTCTTCTGCTGCTCCAACAAATTAGACTTTCCCCATCCTTGCTCAGTCTCTTTCTCTCCGTAAGTCTTCAGTGAAAAAGAATATACACTTCTATTTCCCAAAGTATAATCCATTCTTCAGAAATAATCCAAAAATGTGCATTTTTCCGAAAAATGTTCAGGCTTCTCTTTCACATTTCACCAAGTTTGAGCTTTGTTTACCCCCACATACATCATATCCACGCGTTCCTTGAGTCCTTAGCTTCAAAATGAGAGGTGAGATAGGAGCAGTTTTCAGTCCGTAGGACCCTTGTGAAAAAGACAAACCGCAACCATTTGCATAGGGTCCGTTTTTGCCTTGTTGTTGAAAAAAAATAATTTTGAAAAAATAAAATAAAAGAAAAACACACGGATTTGTAACTTATAAGTACCAAAACTAAAAAAATATGCTTTTTATGATGGTGAAATGTTAGTAAAGCAGTTTGGCACAATTTGGCACACATTTTTCCAAATTGGTTCCGAATGGCACTACTTGATAAAAAAGAGAAACTGCATAAAAACTATAAAACT